TTGCAGCTGTTCTAACGTTTAGAGCCAGAAAGCAAGCGTTTGAGCCGTGCTACCGGTTAAGTAGTTTTTCCAGCACAGTTTTTCTGTGTGAGAAGGCTTATCCAGTCAGCGCAGAGTTCGTATTCTTTGTCACGGTTGACATTGTCGCGGGGGGGGGGGACTGCAACTAATGCCTCCTTGAAGCGCCTGTTCAGCCATTGTTTTTCTTTGATGATTTTGAGGTTTTCTTACAACCGGGGTCGTGTCCATTCTGTGTCGTGTCTGCACCATCCCAGAAGTCTTTGCGTATTGTTCTTTAACTCAGCCTGGAGCAACACTGTTTTCTTCCAGCGTGCTTGGATCTTACTTGTCGTTCACGCTCGTCCGCGACCGTCCATCTCCTTTGTTCTTTTTATGACGGCTTTCCCTATTTCTCCCGTGTAATAATTCTCACTGCTGCATGTGAATATGTAATTACTGCCTAGCAAATTATTACTCGCAGAGTTTTTTAATAAATTAATAAGTTTTTCGGAACTTTTACACATTATATTAATATTACATTCCGTGTTACCTTCGTAACTTTTCACCTCTGTATTTATGATGAAAGAGAATATTGCGTATTTTAAATATTATTTTTGACATTATTTGTGTTAGAAGTTAATTTAAAGTCCGTTTTACTCCGGTTTTTAATGTCATGAGCGAATTCAACTGGACAGTTATTGTTATTACGTTACGTTAATCTAATATTTTATTTCTTCTTTAAGAAATTCAGTATTACATTGCTTTGAGGTTTCGCAGTTAATGCTGTAACTACAGACCGTTTATTATTTAAATGATTATGTGAATTGAAGGTTACATATTTATCGGTGTTAGCAGGTTCATTTGCGATAGAGCTTAGATTTATAGCAATTACCAGAGTTAATTATTTAGACAACAAGAAACTGCAGAATGCAGTTAATTTTTCATCCGGTAGTTAACTTAATATTTTGGGGACAGTGGTCGTACAGAATACCCTGTGCTTTGTTTTCGTCACTACTGGGCAGGTGCAGAATCCGTCAACATATCTGTTGAAGACATAAAAACATATGGTAATCAGACCCACTGGAGGTGCTACGCCCTGACGCGAGTCTCGAGTAACGAGCTGCGTCATTTTCGGTTGATGAGTACGTGGTCCAGCTTGGTGATTGGGCTTCCATAGGAGGACGTCCAGGTAGTTTCGTAAACACGTTAATATGTCTCGCCGACGATTTGGCTGCTTTTGGCTTAGAAGCTTAACAGACGCGGTTGCGGTTGTCATTAACATTGTCAATGCAGGGAGGACCGTGTACTTCTAGCGATGTGCTGTACTCGACGCCCACCTTTGCGTTGAGGTCGTCTATGACAGTTGTGATGTCGTGACGTTGCAAGGCGCTAACAGTCAATTGTCAGCAGTCATAGAAAACGTCCTTGTCGCTGCCGCTCGACCTTTTTTGGGCATCGCGGCCAGTGACATTAATTGTCGCATGTTTGACATTTCCATCCAGACTAGGGTCTTATTCGGTACATTGTTAACTAATTTTATCCTCTCGGACAGGAGGGTTCCCTCACCAGTACGATGTAACCTGTTGTGACCTGACCACTGAAGTGGCTATCGGTCTTGCAGCTGAAGCGTTCCTTTCCCGCAGAGATGAGCTTCCGTGTTTGCCAGTACATTCACTTTGTACCTACAGGCCGTGCGGCAGACATCGTCTGTGTTAGCTTTGAAGGACAACAAACGAACATTCCAACGTGCAACGCGGAACCTATCTCTTGGAGTGCTTGTCGCCTGCTCCACGAGAACCACTTTCTGCGCATCTCATTCCGCTTATTCAAGTTTATGCAGTTCACATCAGTTTCAAGGACGCGCGTTGGACACAACAGTCCTTCTTCGCCTGAAACTCTAAACATCTGATAGTCGATTAGATCAGTTACAGATTCCTTGCCATTTTTGAGTTTTTTTCTACGTCTGCAGCTTCATATACTGATAGATTGATATTCGTCTATTGGTGCAGTTGATGTTAGTCTTTTTCTACTTGGTCGGGGTTAAGAAGTTCCACAAAGCACTCTACATTGCTGAGAGAGTTTGTGAATGGACGCCTAGACTTCTCCTTCTGGGCTCTTAAATTGCCCTTCTTTCCATGTCATAGGCAACGGATGGTCTGCCAGAGTACTTTGTTATTTCTTTGGGAAATTCGACCCCAGCTCCTCACCGAACATTTCTCACGAATCAGCATTTGCATTGGCCACTACTTTCGCTGTCGTCATGCAAGTTTATTCGTAGTGCATGCTAGTTGAAGGCTGTTTGCTTGCAAGCCATCTTTTGAATTTGCAGCCTTCTTCTCGGTAACAGCAGTTATACCTCTTCACCGCGAAATTCGTTTTTAACCTCCCAGTGGAAGATCAACCAGTTTCAACACAGTATTCGGTGGCTGCCATGAGTAAGCCGCTCTTAAAAAGCTTCCACTCGGTTTCACACATCAGCTTCCATCATCAGGGTCTGTTATAACCGTCTTCCGATGTTGTTGCAAATTTCGCTTTCGTATCCGCAGAAGGTGATGTTTCCCACCAGATGGTCGTATGGTACTCCACTCCTCACAGCGTAGCGTGCTAACGTCAAAGTGGTGACCGGTCGGCAGCTCTGCACTTCTCTAACTCGAATCTTCATTGCAGAGGGTCGTAAGTCAGACGGTTCAATTATCAAGTCGATCATGGTCTTCTGTGCACAAGCTTCCCTGTACCAAGTATGTTGATGCACGTTTCGATGCTCGAAGAAGTTAGTCATAATACACAGTCCGTTGTTTGCACAAAACAGCAATAGCTTCATGTCGTTATTATTGAGATCACTAGGGCTGTTCTTTGCATTTGTCAGTGTATGCTCTGGAAGGCGCGTTGAAATCGTTTATTAGCACTGGATTTTGTAGTCTGCACTTCGTACAGAGCAGCTCCAAGAAGGAGTCATATTCTCTTCTGAATGGGGTGCATAAAGTTGTTCAAGAAGCAAAGTTTTTGCTTGTTGCAACTTCAGTTTGTGATCTGCCACTGTTCCGCTGACAGGCTTCCAGTTAGTGTTTCTGTCAGCTGCCAGGTTTAGTTCTACCAGAACACATCGATTTAGTGCTGGTCTTCGTTGAATGGACACCTGAGCAGAATCATATTCCTCCCACAGAGGTTCAAAACTCCATAGCCCGGGCGTTTTATTGACCGGTCAACCTATTGCTTATAGCCTCATCAGTTAGCGCCTGTTATTTCCCTTACCCTCTGAGTGACGAGG